AGTGTACTAAAGTCTTTAGGTTTTGCAGTCTGATTAATTTCCATTACTGATAATGGGATTTGAAAAAGGAAAGTTTTGTGAGGAGTCAGGATGCGGGGAATAACTCAGGTCCGCCTTTGCCTTTGTCATATAAACTTGAAGGTGTGTTTCTGTAGGTGCCATGGATGTTGTCACTGGGATCTGCTGCGACTGAGTATTCACAAATTCATCTTGGCTTTGGACTCACCTCTATGAGGTAGGTCATCTCCATTATTTTTAAATCATAATAGTAATAGTTTGGTGATATATGTTATTGAAAAGTTAGTACATTACTGAAAGGCTTTATGCAAATCTAAAAGAGATATTATTACATTTTGAAATTTCATAGGAATGGTGTCTAATGGTATTTAATTTAAAATAATTAATGTTGACTATTAATTACTGTCTCTTCAGTGAGGTGTGATATCATACACCAAAGAGCATGCACATCATCTCAAGGATCTGTGTGTTCTGATAACTTACTGCATATGCATAAGCTCTGGACTACTGACAGTAATTAGTTCATGTTAAAAGATAATTGATCTTGCTTAACAACACTGAGACAGAAATTCAAAGAGGCCTTGTGAGTAGCTGAAGTGTGATGGATCAAGGAAGCCTGTGAGGGGAAAGATTTGTGTTGTCAGGAAAAAGAAAAAAACAGATAAAAAATGTGGTCTTTTGATGTTGTCTTTTGGCTGACACTAGATTACCTAAAAAGTAGGATTTGTTTTGCAGTGTATTCCCAAATACCTAATATTATATTGGACTGGAGATTTTTAGGCTGATCAAACCTAAACAAAAGAATTTTGCCCAAACTATCACTATTCTGTTTTCAGGCCAGCATTTTGACAGGAGACAGAGTTTGGAGAATGCCTCTTTTTGAACATTACACAAAACAAGTAACAGACTGTCCTCTTGCAGATGTGAGTAACATTGGAAAGTACAGCAGGTAAGGGGCCCCTTTCTTTCAATGTATTTATTTAATATGTGTGCTGTTGGAGTTGCTTTTAGAAACAATACATTTTTCTGCTTCCTGCAGAGCCGGAGGAGCATGCACAGCTGCTGCATTCCTGAAGGAGTTTGTGACTGCCTCTCACTGGGCTCATTTGGATATTGCTGGTGTGATGTCGAATAAAGATGAGGTGCCCTATCTTCGAAGGGCATGGCAGGCGGCCCACGAACCCTTGTAGAGTTTGATGCCCGGTTAAGTCAAGACAGTCACAATGTCAAATAAAAATACGTGTTCTGAAACCATCTGCTCTGCCTTAAGAAAAAAAATCTTAAAAGGTACTGTTCATAAATTAATGCCCCAAGCATATTTTCATTATGTTAATTAACTACAAATGCATTTTATAAATTATTACTTGGGTAAGATTATCTCAACTTTGAGATTTGTCATCCCATATTATGCAGCTTAAAATAAAAGATACTCTGTTTGAAATATTGAGATATTTAATATCAAAACATGATAATGGAAAACATCAGGACTCCTACTTTATATGTAAAATAAGCATAATTAATGTAAACAATAAACACTTTATTTGGATGTGTGTTTTGACTGAGAGAATGCACAATAGGAAATAGTAGCTGTGCCTCAGTTTTGGGTAAACTCTAGGTGGTGTGAAAGGTAGCTCTGCAAAGTTGTTCATAAAAATGCCATTCTGACGTTTTTCCGTAGAAAAACTAAACCTGCTCTTGGTGTGTACTGAGGCAGAAATGGTGCTGCATCAGACTTTTTAGGCTGTTGCAATTAGCATGATTAGCATGGCTTCAGCACTGAATTATAGAGTTAGTTCTAATTGTGTCAGCAAGAGAATCATAGAATCATAGAATCATAGAATAGAATGGGTTGGAAAAGACCTCCAAGATCATCAAGTCCAACCCCTGATCCAACTCTAATTACTATATCATGGCACTAAGGGCCATGTCCAATCTCTTTTTAAAAACTTCCAGGGATGGTGAATCCACCACTTCTCTGGGCAGGCCGTTCCAATGCCTGATCACCCTCTCTGTAAAGAATTTCTTCCTAACATCTAACCTAAACTTCCCCTGGCAGAGCTTGAGCCCATGTCCCCTTGTCCTGTTGTTGGTTGCCTGGGAGAAGAGACCAACCCCCACCTGGCTATAACTTCCCTTCAGGTAGTTGAAGAGAGTGATGAGGTCACCTCTAAGCCTTCTCTTCTCTAGACTAAACAATCCCAGCTCCCTCAGCCTCTCCTCATAGGACTTGTGCTCAAGTCCCTTCACCAGCCTGGTTGCTCTTCTCTGGACCCGCTCCAGCACCTCAATATCCTTCCTGAACTGAGGGGCCCAGAGCTGAACACAATACTCAAGGTGCGGCCTCACCAACGCAGAGTACAGGGGAAGGATCACTTCCCTGCTCCTGCTGGCCACACTGTTCTTGATGCAGGCCAGGATGCCATTGGCCTTCTTGGCCACCTGGGCACACTGCTGGCTCATGTTCAGCCTCCTGTCGATCAGCACCCCCAGGTCCCTTTCCACCTGGCTGCTCTCCAGCCACTCTGTGCCCAGCCCGTAGCGCTGCAGGGGTTGTTGTGGCCAAAGTGCAGGACCCGGCACTTGGCCTTGTTGAACTTCATCCCATTGGAGTCAGCCCATCTCTCCAGTCTATCCAGGTCCCTCTGCAGAGCCCTCCTGCCTTCTGGTAGGTTGACACTCCCTCCCAACTTGGTGTCATCAGCAAATTTGCTGATGATGGACTCAATCCCCTCATCTAGGTCATCGATAAAGATGTTAAACAGGAGTGGACCCAGCACTGATCCCTGGGGGACACCACTGGTGACCGGCCGCCAGCTGGAGGCAGCCCCGCTCACCAGCACTCTCTGGGCCCGGCCCTCCAGCCAGTTCTTAACTCCAGCACAGAGTGCCCCTGTCCAAGCCATAGGGCTGCCAGCTTTTCCAGGAGTATATTATGGGAGACAGTGTCAAAGGCTTTGCTGAAGTCCAGATAGACCACATCCACAGCCTTCCCTTCGTCCACCAGGTGAGTCACCTGATCGTAAAAGGAGATCAGGTTGGTCAAGCAGGATCTGCCTCTCCTAAACCCGTGCTGGCTGGGTCTGATCCCTTGTCCATCCTGTAGCTGCTGTGTGATTGCACACAGGATGATCTGCTCCATAACTCTGCCAGGCACCGAGGTCAGGCTGACAGGCCTGTAGTTACCAGGGTCAGCCTTGCAGCCTTTTTTATGGATTGGGGTGATATTTGCCAACTTCCAATCATGTGGACCTCCCAGTGAGCCAGGACTGTTGGAAGATAATGGAGAGCGGCTTGGCAAGCTCTTCTGCCAGCTCCTCATTACCCTAGGATGGATCCCATCTGGTCCCATAGACTTGTGAGGATCCAGGTGGCTCAGTAAGTCACTAACTATTTCCTCCTGGAATACAGGGGGCTATTTGGTTTCTCTCTCTGTCTACTAGCTCCAGAGGCCAGTTGCCTTGAGGGCCACCTGTCTTACTGGTAAAAACTGAGGCAAAGTAGGTGTTAAGTACCTCAGCCTTCTCCTCATCTCTATTAACTACGTTTCCTCCGAGTCCATCAAAGAATGGAGGTTTTCTTTGCCCCTCCTTTGTTATTAATGTATTTATAGAAGGACTTTTGTTATCCCTAACAGAAGTGGCCAATTTAACTTCAAATTGCGCTTTGTATCCCTGATTTTCTTTTCTGCATGATCTAGCTGTTCTTCCTGAATTCTTCGTAAGTAGCCAGCCCTCTCTTCCATAGTCGATAAACTCTCTTTTATCCCTGATTTCCTTCAGAATCTCCCCTGTTTAACCAGGCTGGTTGTCTTCCCCGCCGGCTTGCCCTTTCGGCACACCGGTATGGCCTGTTCCTGTGCACTCAAAACTTCCTGTTTGAAGCACATCCATCCCTCCTGGACTCCCTTGTTTTCAAGGGTTGTTTCCCAGGGTATGCTCTGGACTAGATTTCTGAATAGGTCAAAATCTGCCCTCCGGAAGTCCAGCGTAGAGGTTTTATTGTTGTTTCTCCTTGAATCTCTGAGTATTGAAAATTCTATTATTTCATGATCACTATTTCCTAGGCGGCCTTCAACCACTATATCTCCCACCAGCTCCTCCTCTGTTTGTAAACAGCAGGTCTAGCGGGGCCTTACCCCTGGTAGGTTCATTTACCAGTTGATGAAGGAAATTGTCCTCTATACACTCCAGGAAATTCCTAGACTGCCTCTTCTCTGCAGTATTGAGCTCCCAGCAGATATCCGGCAGGTTAAAGTCACCTACAAGGACAAGGGCTGACAATTTTGAGACATCCGCCAGCTGCTTGTAGAATACTCCATCCCCTTCATCATCCTGGTAGGGCGGTCTGTAACAGACACCCATGATGATGTCAGTCTTGTTGGTCTTCCCCCTGATTTTGATCCACAGGCACTCAACCTTATTGTTGCTGACCTCAAGTTCAACAGGGTCCAGAGAGTCTCTAACATATAAAGCCACCCCTCCACCTCTCCTCCCCTGCCTGTTCTTCCTGAAGAGCTTATAGCCTTCCATAGCAGCACTCCAGACATGCGAGTCATCCCACCATGTTTCTGTGATGGCGACTACATCATAGCCTTCCTGCTGCACAATTGCCTCCAGCTCCTCTTGTTTGTTGTATCTTGTAACTGTTTTTCAAAAAACTAATGAATGCAAGTTCCTGTTTCATGGGATTTTTTTTTTTTGGAACTTACCCCCATCTCACATACTTTTTGTCATCCTGTTGCTTCCCCCCTTCCCTGGTGTGAGACTGTTGGGCTCCCAGCAGGGATAGTATTCCCAGAATCGGTTCAAACAGACTTGACACTTAAAACAATGGGGTGATGTTTTCTTGACAGTTTGGGGGATTCAGGCCCAGAGAGTGGGGGTTTGATTTGGTTTAGGGTGTTTTTTCAGGTTTTTTTGTTAAACGGTGGTGTGTAACAAGAGATGTGGGACCAGTGCTGACCCAGGCTGGTGGCAGTGAGGTGTGGGCAGGGCAGCCACTGGAGGAGGAGGGTCTTGTTGGGAAGGATGGCTTTGTTGTCTCTGCTCTCCTTGTTACTAGGAAGGAAAGTAGTATCCTGGGGTCTGCTGGGAAGAGTGGCCAGCAGGGTGAGGGAGATGATCTTCACTCTTTG